ACACTCCGTGCATGCCAGCTACACTCCTGCATGCCTGCTACACTCCTTGCATGCTGCTACACTCCCTGCATGCCTGCTACACTCCCTGCATGCCTGCTACACTCCTGCAAGCCAGCTACACCCCCGGGCATGCCTGCTACACTCCCTGCAAGCCAGCTCACTCCGTGCATGCCGCTACACTCCCTGCATGCTGCTACATCCCTGCATGCCTGCTACACTCCCTGCATCCCTGCTAAAACTCCCTGCAACCCATGCTACACTCCCTGCATGCCTGCTACACTCCCTGCATGCCTCCCTTTACTTCCTGCATCCCTGCTACACCCCCTGCAAACCAGCTACACTCCCTGCATGCCTGTACACCCCCTGCAAGCCAGCTACACTCCCTGCATGCCAGCTACACTCCTGCATGCCAGCAAACACTCCCTGCATGCCTGCTACACTCCCTGCATGCCTGCTACACTCCCTGCATGCCTGCTACACTCCCTGCTTTGCTGCTACACTCCCTGCATGCCTGCTACACTCCCTGCATGCCTGCTACACTCCCTGCATGCCTGCTACACTCCCTGCATGCCTGCTACACTCCCTGCATGCCTGCTACACTCCCTGCAAGCCAGCTACACTCCCTGCATGCCTGCTACACTCCCTGCATGCCTGCTACACTCCCTGCATGCCTGCTACACTCCCTGCATGCCTGCTACACTCCCTGCATGCCAGCTACACTCCCTGCAAGCCAGCTACACTCCCTGCATGACTGCTACACTCCCTGCAAGCCAGCTACACTCCCTGCATGCCTGCTACACTTCCTGCATGCCTGCTACACTCCCTGCATGCCTGCTACACTCCCTGCAAGCCAGCTACACTCCCTGCATGCCTGCTACACTCCCTGCATGCCTGCTACACTCCCTGCATGCCTGCTACACTCCCTGCATACCTGCTGCATTCCCTGCAAGCCAGCTACACTCCCGGCATGCCTGCTACACTCTCTGCATGCCTGCTACACTCCCTGCATCCCTGCTACACTCCCTGCATCCCTGCTACACTCCCTGCATGCCTGCTACACTCCTGCAACCCGTTTACACTCCCTGCTTTGCCTGCTACACCCTGCATCCCTGCTACACTCCCTGCATGCCTGCTACACTCCCTGCATGCCTGTTTACACTCCCTGCATGCCTGCTATACTCCCTGCATCCCTGTTTACACTCCCTGCAACCCAGCTACACTCCCTGCATGCCTGCTACACTCCTGCATGCCTGCTAATCCCTGCATGCCTGCTACACTCCCTGCAAGCCAGCTACATTTCCCTGCATGCCTGCTACTACTCCCTGCAAGCCGCTACACTCCGTGCATGCCAGCTACACTCCCTGCATGCCTGCTACACCCCCTGCATGCCTGCTACACTCCCTGCATGCTGCTACCCCCCTGCATGCTGCTACACCCCCTGCAGCCTGCTACACTCCCTGCATGCCTGCTACACTCCCTGCAAGCCAGTACACTCCCTGCATGCCTGCTACACTCCCTGCATCCCTGCTCCCACCCCCTGCATCCCTTTGCTACACTCCCTGCATGCGCTACCCCCCTGCAAGCCAGCTACACTCCCTGTATGCCTGCTACACTCCCTGCATGCCTGCTACACTCCGTGCATGCCTGCTACACTCCCTGCATGCCTGCTACCACTCCCTGCAAGCCAGCTACACTCCCTGCATGCCTGTTTACACTCCCTGCATGCCTGCTCACTCCCTGCATGCCTGCTACACTCCCTGCATGCCTGCTACACTCCCTACATGCCTGCTACACTCCCTGCAAGCCAGCTACACTCCCTGCATGCCTGCTACACTCCATGCATGCCTGCTACACTCCCTGCATGCCTGCTACACTCCCGGGCATGCCTGCTACCCCCCTGCATGCTGCTACACTCCTGCAAGCCAGCTACACTCCCTGCATGCCTGCTACACTCCCTGCAAGCCGCTACACTCCGTGCATGCCAGCTACACCCCCTCCCATGCCTGCTACACTCTTGCATTGCCTGCTACACTCCCTGCATGCTGCAACACTCCCTGCATCCCTGTTTCACCCCCTGCAAGCCAGCTACACTCCCTGCATGCCTGCTACACTCCCTGCAAGCCAGCTACACTCCGTGCATGCCAGCTACACTCCCTGCATGCCTGCTACACTCCTTGCATGCCTGCTACACTCCCTGCATGCCTGCTCCCACTCCTGAAAGCCAGCTAACTCCCGGGCATCCCTGCTACACTCCCTGCATGCCTGCTACACTTCCTGCTGCCTGCTACACTCCCTGAAAACCCAGCTACACTCCCTGCATCCCTGCTACACTCCTTGAAAGCCAGTACACTCCGTGCATGCCAGCTACACTCCCTGCATGCGTACACTCCCTGCATGCCTGCTACCTCCCCTCCCTTGCCTGCTACACTCCCTGCATGCCTGCTACACTCCCTGCATGCCTGCTACACTCCCTGAAAGCCAGCTAATACCTGCATGCTTGCTACACCCCCTGCATGCCTGCTACACCCCCCTGCATGCCTGCTACCCTGCATGCCTGCTACACTCCCTGCAACCCAGCTACACCCCCTGCATGCCTGCTACACCCCCTGCATGCCTGCTACACTCCCTGCATGCCTGTACACTCCCTGCATGCCTGCTACACTCCCTGATGCCAGTACAACCTCCCTGCAGCCAGTACACTCCCTGCATGACTGCTACACTCCCTGCAAGCCAGCTACACTCCCTGCATGCCTGCTACACTTCCTGCATGCCTGCTACACTCCCTGCATGCCTGCTACACTCCCTGCAAGCCAGCTACACTCCCTGCATGCCTGCTACACTCCCTGCATGCCTGCTACACTCCCTGCATGCCTGCTACACTCCCTGCATACCTGCTGCATTCCCTGCAAGCCAGCTACACTCCCGGCATGCCTGCTACACTCCCTGCAAGCAAGCTACACTCCCTGCATGCCTGCTACACTCCCTGCATGCCTGCTACACTCCCTGCATGCCTGCTACACTCCCTGCATGTCAGCTACACTTCCTGCATGTCAGCTACACTCCCTGCATGCCTGCTACACTCCCTGCATGTCAGCTACACTCCATGCATGTCAGCTACACTCCATGCATGTCAGCTACACTCCCTGCATGCCTGCTACTCTCCCTGCATGTCAGCTACACTCCCTGCATGCCTGCTACACTCCCTGCATGTCAGCTACATTCCCTGCATGTCAGTTACACTCCTTTCAGGCCTGCTACACTCCGTGCATGCCTGCTACACTCCCTGCATGTCAGTTACACTCTCTGCATGGCTGCTACACTCCCTGCATGGCTGCTACACTCCTTGCATGCCTGCAACACTCCCTGCATGCCTGCTACACTCTATGCATGTCAGCTACACTACCTGCATGCCTGCTACACTCCCTGCATGTCACCTACACTCCCTGCATGCCTGCTACACTCCCTGCATGCCTGCTACACTCCCTGCATGTCAGCTACACTCCCTGCATGTCAGCTACACTCCCTGGATGCCTGCTACACTCCCTGCATGTCTGCTACCCTCCCTGAATATCAGCTGAAGTCCGTGCATGTCAGCTACACTCCCAACATGCCTGCCACACTCCCCGCATGCCTGCTACACTCCGTGCATGCCTGCTACTCTCTCAGCATGCCTGCTACACTTCCTGCATGTCAGCTACACTCTCTGCATGCCTGCTACACTCCCTGCATGCCTGCTAGACTCCTTGCATGCCTGCTACACTCCCTGCATGCCTGCTACACTTCATGGATGCCTGCTACACTTCCTGTATGCTTGCTACACTCCCTGGATGCCTGATACACTCCCTGCATGTCAGCTACACTCCCTTCATGCCTGCTTACACTCCTGCATTTTCAGCTCACCCCCTTTGCATGCTGCTACACTCCCTGCGCCTGCTACACTCCCTGCATGACTGTTACACTCCCTGCATGCCTGCTACACTCCCTGCATGTCAGGTACACTCCCTGCATGCCTGTTACACTCCCTGCATGTCAGTTATACTCCCTGCATGCCTGCTACACTCCCTGCATGTCAGCTACATTCCCTGCATGTCAGCTACACTCCTTACATGCCTGCTACACTCCCTGTATGCGTGCTACACTCCCTGTATGCATGCTACACTCCCTGTATGTCCCAGTGTGTTCAAGAAAAACAATGTCCCATCTCATCACTCATCAACAAGTCCACAATAAAGGTAATTGTCATTTCAGTATTGTGTATTGTGCATGTATCATTGTTGTCTGTGTAGGGAAATATATATTTTATGGAAAAAAAACATATTTTGTTTAATACTTTTGGGTGTTTGGAACGGATTAATTGGATTTCCATTATTTCTTATGGGGAAAATTAATTTAGCTAGAGGCTAAATCTGTTAAAGGCTTGCTCTCTGGAACAGATTAAAGGCGTTACCTGAGGTTCCGCTGTATATGTTTGGACCGTTTATGGGTTAAAAATGCCTTAAAATGACAATAAATACTTTAAAACTAGTGTAAATAATTCGTGAAAGAATATAACTCTTGATAAGCCTTAACGCTTTCAGAGTCCAGAGGCCAAATTTCAAAGTGTGCACCAGGGTCCAAGAATTTCCCCCAAAAATAATTTTGTAATTTTTTCTTATGAAATGGTAGAGAATCTTTTTCTGAAGGTAATAAAACAAAAAGTAAGAAATTTGATGGAAAAATTGATGAAATTATGTTCTCGCAAATTTTGATGTGTCAGCGATATTTACGCATCGGCAATTTTGCCGACTTTGGCTCCCATTTTAGGCCAATTACATTATTCCAGTCGACCAAATTCTTAGCTATTTCACTAGTATTACTTCCATTCTATTGATTGAGCACATGAAATACGCCCCAAATCAAATGTTTCACTACAAAATAAGTGATCGGAAATTGGTAATTGGGCCAATCTAACACAAAGTTCAAAATACTGTATTCCAATTTCAAAATAGGGTCCAGAATAAACAATGCAGGCATTCCTGGTACTAAACTAACATTTCCTCTGTTCATTAGTTATGTTTTCAGGCTTTACAAATGAATTCCATTTTTATTTTTGTATTCACATAATGAATTTTTATTCAAACCAAAAAATAGAAGATTTACTGTTATGCAATATTGTAATAATTGTATAAATAATATCATCACATTTGTGAACATATATTAGACCCACTAGCTGGTGTGTATTAGACGTGTGAGGTCATTTGTTTACTCTTGAACATCGACGAAAATTTAACATTTCTGCTACTTTGAGCTCAGTTTCAAGCCATTTCAGTAAAAAATCCAATCAAAATCATCTCTATTTCTGTAATATATCTTCCATTCTATCAAATAAGACCAAGAAATAGCAAATACAACTATAAAAAAATACGAAAAAACACTGCAAAAGTCGCTGTTTTAATAAAAATTACGGTCTCAGTTTTTTTTCTCTCATTATGCACTGTGTGCTGCAGGATTTGTTTTATGTGGTTCACGCATACCACACTGATGTATTCTCTCATATCTAGGTCCAAATTTACCACTCACAGCTTATCAGAGTGAGCCGAGCTCATGGTGTAGATCTACGGTTTGGACCCTCACTCAAAGCCGTAGAACTACGGCACGGACCCTGAAAGGGTTAAAGAACACTAAAAATACATTTTTGTCATACAGTGATACCTTGTATATCCGGCCTGCCATTATCCAAACCTTGCCAATATCCGAACAGGTCCTGGGAAAGGGCAAAATTCTAAAATTGTTACCAAAACATCCGATCAGCTGTTCGGATATCGCAGAAGGCTGAATCAAACTTGGCATGCACTTAAGTGTACCACTCGGCCACTAGGAGCAGGACTGGCTAGCGTGTGACAAAGACGACCCTGGTGTGCAATCTCTGACGAATGCAGAGATTGCAGAATCAGTGTTGCACCCAGAACATTCCGAAAGTGACAACGACAATGACCCAATGCCTCCAAGACCAAAAGCTTCAGCAGCAAGGGCAGGTGTCGAAACACTTTTGGAGTATTTGGAGCATCTGCTGTCCACAGCCCATTTGAAATGTTTTGGTCCTATTGTCTGTGAAATCTGGAAGGATGTTATTCGAGCCCAGTGTGTCTGCTCCCACCGCCAAACGACACTGGACTCACTTTTTAAACCTACAATGCCGTCCTGATGGCCATATGATGGGGTACAGATGGTGATATGATGGTATGGATGCACATTTTTTCCCCCTCATGTTTCCAAACCAGTCTCGGCCCATACAGTTCGGGTATAAGAGGTATCACTGTATATTTAAAGGATAATGAAGACAATTTAAAAAAAATTATGATGTAGGTGACGTTACTGAGTGACAAAGTTGGACGTTATGACATTTGCTGAACTGAAATTTACTCTAGAAAAGTGGCATAAAGGTGGATTTGATGTAAGCCAAAAAAATGCAAAAAACAAGGTATGTGTACTATGTGATACTTACAATATACTGCTTCTTCATGAAAAAATTAATAATGTAAATATTGGGAGTGTTTCCATACACCTGCTGTCTGTATTCAACTACAGATTGGCCATCACTAATCTGGCAATCAGTTATCCGGTTCCATCAGTAATCAGGCACTAATTTAGGCTAGCATAATTTCAAATTTCATCATTATACTGACTCAGAAATTGTGCAGATAGTTGTAAATCCACAGCAGCAAGCCAGTGGAGGAGAAAGCAGTGATGAAAATGAGGAAGATGTAGCAGAAAGTCTCTCTATTGATAGGTTAATTAAGTGTATTCTAACCTAACCACTCTGTAATCCGGCAAACTCACTAATCCGGCACACTACAGGTCCCAATAATGCCAGATTAGTGATGGCCAAGCTGTAGTAGTAAGTAGGTACCCAGCTGTGGGTTGTAGCCTGGGACACATGACTGAAGGACCACAGTGGAAATAAGACAGACAATCCTCAATGACGCACTGACTTTCTTGGGTGGCTAACCCTCCAAATTAAAAATAAGAACAAATCTTATCTTAACTTGTAATACACTGACTATAATGCCCATGTATAATGAAACTGGGTCATTTAACAAATAGCACATGCAGCATATATCTGCTATAATGTACTGTCTTGATGCTGGCAAAGGGCTTATGATTCAGAAAATTGTAGCTACTCAATTTTGTGGCCTCTAAATCTCCAGGTGCTGTATGACCCCTATGTTATCATTCCACATAAATGCAATAAAAATAATAATAATATACATGTAATGTACTGGCATACCATAGCTACACAAAATGAAAGACTTACCTGGCCTTTTTCATATGTAGAGGCTCTCCAATTTTTTCCTCATAAGGAGGAATGGCAGGTTCTCTGTTTGGCTGAGCACCATGCAAGTCTCCATTATCTTCACCCCCACTACCATAACATCTATGAATCTGAAGAGATCAAAATATGTTGATAAAATTATTTAGAATTTTATTCAGGTTAATAACATACAGATGTTTTACTTTTATATGGTTTGTATATTTAATTTTAAAAGCAACCATGGTTGTAGTCCTGGTGTAAGTTTGTATGCAATACAGTAAGGCTCCGCTTTACGGCGTTTCACCTTACAGTGTTCCGCTAATACGGCGATGTCAAATTATGACCAAAATTTGCTATACGGCAAGCGGTCTTTTAAATACGGCGCCCCCCACCCGGTTTGTTTACATTTTCCGTGACCACATCTATTATGTCAGGAAACTTTCCAAAATTTCAAGTGTTTTAGAGTTACTGCATATTTTATATGTACTCTGATAATTATACTTATGTGTACCTGTACCTAAATATACTTACACACTGTGCTGGTGTGCAGGTACACATTAAAATCGCTAAGTCTCTCTCTACTCATGACGCCAATACTACGTAATAATAATCACTCTTGGGCACACTAAATGTCTTATTTTACATCAATATAGGCATTTTCATTAATCCATCTATGATATTTTCCTCAAAATTATACAGTGGACCCCCGCATAACGATGGCATCACATAGCGATTTTTCCGCATAACGATTACTTTTATCGCAAAATTTTTTGCCGCGCATACGATTAAAACCGCTTACCGATTTTCGTCCGAGACGCGTCCAATGTGCCCTCACATGTGCCGGCCGTCCCATTGTTTACCAGCCAGCCTCCGCGGTAACATCCAAGCATACACTCGGAATATTTCGTATTATTACAGTGTTTTCGGTGCTGTTTCTGGAAAATTAAGTGACCATGGGCCCAAGAAGCTTCTAGTGCCAACCTGTGGTTAAAAAGGGTGAGAATTAGTATGGAAATTAAGAAAGATTTTGAAGGGTTTGGGGCTAACCCTGAGAAGCCTATGCCAGTTGTGGAATCCATTGTGCCTACTTCAAAGATTAAGGAAATGTGTGCACAGTGGGTTGAACTGCAAACCTTTATAGATGAAAATCACCCTGACACAGCTGTTGCAAGCCGTGCTGGTGACTATTTCAATGACATGTTATGGCCCATTTTAGGAAAGTCTTGAAGGAAACGGGAGGTACAGAGCTCTATGGACAGATTTGTTGTGCGACAGAGGTCAGTGACTCTCAAGCTGGTCCTAGTGGCATTAAAAGAAGAAGGGAAGTAACCCAGAAAAGGACTTGCTACCTCAAGTCCTAATGGAAGGGGATTCCCCTTCTAAACAGTAAGAAGATAATGCTCTCCCCTCTCCCATCCATCAATCATCACCAGATCTTCAATTAAAAGTAAGTGTCATGTAATTGGCATGCCTTTTTCAGTTTGTGTGTATTAAAATTAACATTTCATGTGGTAAAAAAAAAATTTTTTCATACTTTTGGGCGTCTTGCACGGATTAATTTTATTTCCATTATTTCTTATGGGGAAAATTCATTCGCATAACGATTATTTCGCATAACGATGAGCCCTCTTGCACGGATTAAAATCGTTAACGGGGGTCCACTGTATATGAAACCATTACATAGCATATAACATGATATATACACTCAGAATAAAAATTGATGTAAATATGAGATTTGTTTACAAAGCAGCTGTGTAGGTAGTGTCGGAAGAATTACGTTTTCTATAGTCAAACACTGGTGGGTAACTGTAGAAAAATATTCTTTTCATATGCCTTTTTACTCTATGTATAGCAATTCACGACCCTTGGTGGGTTTAGTGCTTTTTATAATAAATAATAATAATAATTATTATTATTATTATTATTAATATTAATAATAATATTATTATTATTAATAATAATATTATTATTTTATATTAATAATAATAATAATATTATTATTATTATTAATAATAATAATAATAATATTATTATTATTATTATTATTATTATTATCTTCATTCACTCTAAAAATGGTGTGCTGCTGTTTGTTTATTCTGAACTAACTTGTACAACTTGTACACAATGTAAGAGTATTTGTATTGTGAGGTAATTATTATTAAAATAAAAACAATTTTGAGGTAAATGTTTTACAAACTCTTACAAATGGACGTGAATGAACTAAAAGTAGACATATTAATGCGCATTTATTTCGCTTCACCAAGTGATCATCCACTACCTGTTCAGTTTGTGTTCTTACATTGTCTCAACTCTGTATCTCGTTCTCTCTCTCGTTTACTCTTTTGTTAACTAGTTGGCTCTCATTGACGATGGCGTCTAAGGATAGTTGTAATAAAAAGAGAAGTCGTAAGCCTCTTGCTTTAAGTGCCAAGTTAGAGGATGATGGTGTGCCATTTTGATTTTATTCAATAAACACCCTACCACTCACCTCTCACACATTAATATTAATATTTTAAGGTAAGTAATAAGTGTACTCTGTGTATCTTACCTTTTATTGTGTTTTTAATGCCTATTTCTATTGCTAACTTAATATAAGTTAGTGTAAACTTGTTGTCTGGCATTTATTGCATATTTTATATGCTCTGATAATAATACTTGTGGAGCCAGGTGGAGGGACAACATTACGTTTTCTCTGCTGAGCCATCAGAGGAAAACGTTTTATGAATCTTTTGTTTGGCCCCCTC